ATCAGAAACCGCTCAATAATTGTTTGAAATTTGTTTTTTGGCAGAGCGCTAGCCTCACTGATTTACGCACATTGCAAACAAAACAAAAATAAAAATATGAGCTGAACAATTAAAGTGCTACAAGGATGAAGACTTTATGCCACATGAGAAACACTGCCTTGATTACATTTAAATAATCGCAAAGGCAAACAAAGGACTCACGGGCAGTAAATAGAGAGGAAAAAAAAGGCAAACAGATTAAGGGCCTGTTCACATGGAGGTGGGGGACCCCAGATAGGTGAGGTAACATGTGGCGGGTCACCCCACCTATCATGTAAACGTGATCAAATTAAAATGAGAGATTATATGGACAGGCGGGTTACCTCAACTAAGCGGGTTACACCACTTACCTAGGGTCCCCCACCTTCGTGTAGACAGGCCCTAAATTAATCCAAACAGACAAAACTCCCCGGTGGGGGGTACTCAAGAAAGTTTTTACTGGGATGTTCCTCCCCAAGGACTCTCTCCTCCGCAGAGGCCTCTTTGTGTCGCAGGGAGGCTGGGAGAAATAAAAAGAAAGCGCGAGGCACAAGCACCAGCCTGCGTCGCAGACGTAACCTTACCCTGGTTAGTAACGTCTGCGAAGCAGCGCCGATAGGAACTTTAAGATCCAACGACGCGACGGCGACAAGAACGTCGCTTAAAAAGTGAATTTGCGTTCTTTCAGTCTTTATTGTGGGCTGATTTAGCAACAGAACGGGCACGTCAGTTGACGACGGCGCGCGCAAATCAAACATCTGGCTTAACCAATAGCAGAGCGGCAAATTGATCACCGGAAGTCGTGTTTAGTCCCAATATCCTAGGAAAACCGAATTCACTAATTGTTTTATTATTCATTAAAAATATTTCCTAGTTTAAAAACATAGCTAAACATGCTTACCTGCATCGATGTTAAGTTCATCTTCGATAGTGTACGTTTAGGTTTGTCCAGCTCCGCAAATATTCTGTCGCCCTTGCTGTTTTTGCCATGTTTTTAGTTATTATTTCGCCTAGTTCCAGCTGTAGTTCTTACTCTTGAAACGAGTGAAATGTCTGCAATTTTTTTTTCACAACCAAAACAATTCAACCTTGACCCCAGGTCTTCTCCGCAGGTCTTCTTAACCTGTAGAAGGCTGCATTTTTGACGTCATTTCCTCGTTAAACACAAAATTCTTCCAAATTTGGTCACCAGTAACTGGTTATGGCGAATTACGCCTGTGCTTTTAGAATTGGGAAAATATATTGAATGAATAATAACGAGTGCTAAAGGGCCCACCCCTCCACAGTCAGTTATGCTTAGTGACCAGGTGGCGGTCTCTGAAAATAAGTAATCAAGTATGGTTTCACTACGCAGTTTAACGTGTACCCCTGAACTAGTTTTATTTATGTCTGCAAGTAGAATGATTTTCCTTTCAACTTAGACTCTTTCACAGCCGTTATTAGGGTCGTTACGCAACGCTCTTTTCGTGGAGAGGAGCGTTGCGTGACGACCATAACAACGGATTGGGGGCTGACTACTTCTAACTTGGTTACATCAACATGATGTGCGGTGTGCAAGTCAAAACAAAGAGACTAAAATCTGTGGCATCCGTGCGTTTCCTCATTCAACCGCCGACAAGAAACCCTATTTGACTAAAAAATACTTCCGACCAGGCCATACAACAAGTTCCAGGATTTAAAACGGAAAGAACAAAACGTGCATGCTATTACTTCAACAGAAACCAAAAAATTCTCCAAACTAATCTCGGTAGGTTTCCTCAAATAATTCGTTGAGAGAATCTGACTAAATGTCGACACATTTGTACCTTTGGTGATCATAACCATTATTCTCACAACCTTTATCTTGACTATGTATTGAGAAAACTGATGTTGGTCACTCTTGGGATTAAAGGGGTTGAAGAAATTACACTCCGAGGTTTCCAAACGCTGCAGGTTATCACTTCTTTTTCTTACATTCAAAACATTTTCTTAAAAACTACACCTATTCACACATTAGAGAGATTAAGCATCGCGTTTACGGCCAGCGGCAAACGTGAGATTCAAGTTGAGAAATTTTCAAAATGAGAAATGAACAGATAAAAACAGCTTAAAACAATTGTTGTGGATAGAATTGGCGTGCATCTACCGATTTTCGTGGACTTAAAATGAACAGTAAACGACAAGTAAATGGATAACTTGGTCTCGAGGTACAAATTCACGTTTGCCGTTTGCCGTAAAACGCGATGCTTAATCTATCTAATGACACCATTTCAGCAAAACCAGGTCTACAAGAAAGTCAACAAAAGTTAGTTGAGGTTATGTCTGCCCTACAATCATTTCTTATTCGCCACTTTGGTAAGGAATCTGGGACGAGTTAACTTTCGCAATGACTTCTGGGATTGTTACTAAGGACAGGGAAAAACCTTTGGCCAATCGCTGACCAGCGTGTCCTCAGTTACAATCCCAGAAACAATTGCGGGATAAATTTCGGCTCCAGTCCTCTTAAAGCACTGCTGAATGAGGAAACGAACGCGGAGCTCCGTTATGTGGAATTGAAGACATGGCGAAGCGACATCCCCATTGTGAGTCCCTTTGCATGATTGTTATCATTATGCGGTAGAAACATTACAGTTTTGGTCTTTTCACGTAGTGCCATCTATCAACTGTTGAAAGAAAAAGACAACGATAATTACCACTTCGGATTGACAAAAAGGTAACCAGACAAGTCATCCAAAAGTCGTCTCGCCCCAAGTAACTTCGCCCAAACCTCGTAGTTATTTCGCCCAAAATTCGCGCTCAGGTTATAGTGAAGAGGCACTAGCCTGGAAAAGCAAAGACTGCTGCATATATCCAAGTGAAAAAACAGCTCAAATTAATTTGGGGCGAAATGATTTTTAGGCTTCTTCTTAGTGTTCAAAACAAAACTTTTAAACCATCATATCTGGTGTTTCGTGTGACCTGGGACTAATAAATTCAATCAGCGACAAAATTGTCCAGACACTGTCGTCAATTGGGGCCTACAGTACTGTTTTTGGGTTAAACAAAGGGCCAGACCCCTCCCCCAACTCCTCTATTCAAAGTTGGGTTGTTTGTTGTTTTTGAAGATAATTTTAAACAGCGAAACAACACTGTTTAGAGGGGGTGGGAGGAAAAGCTTGCCTTTTCTCCGCCTGTTGAAATAAATGGTGTTCGCAAAGGTGAGAAATGTCATTGAAGGCAGTGTCTCATGGAATATTTTAGCCACTGATGGTAGGTGCATGTGAAAAACACTTTACTTGCTGCTATATAGGTTCATTCTCACATAAACTTCAGGGGCGGATCCAGGATTTTTCTAAGGAAGGGGTGCACCACTGAGCAATGGCGTAACTGACTGGTGACGCAACCAAATTTTAATACAGAATACCAGTTGTATTAGAAAGCCGTAGGTCATCTGGGGGGGGGGGGGGGAAGAAGGTGCACGCCCCCTACACTCTCTCCCCCTAGATCTTCCCCTGAACTTAGTTTAATGCCCTCAGCTCGCGAGTCTCCAAGAGCTTAGTGGTAGGGCATCTGGACTAGTAACCACAGGGTCATAAGCTTAAATCGTAGACACAGCCTTAGAAAACCCATCTTTCGGTGGTTGTTATACTCTGCTTGATTGGGGCTTTAAGTGCTTACCTTCTAGAGCTGGATCAATAGGCTGAGCTTCAGCTGGAGGGGCAACCTGAAAAACCCACAAAAGAAGCATTTTTGAGCTTGAGTAACAGAGGCAAGAAGAAAAGGACGGTAAAACGTCTGTGCGTGACGAAAGTGACAGGCCCATTATTTTCGAGTTTTGTCATAATTTTCACTTAACATTACAAAGTTCTGGTCTTTTACAAAAAGATCTCTCTAAAGGAAGGTGAAGTTTGGCGGAATATTGTTTTTCAACCAAAATTATTGTCACGCTCGTAACACAAGCTAAATTACGGTTTGCCGTCTTCTTTCCTCTGCCGTCTTTTTGCTTAAGTTCACTGTTAATAGGAGACGATGGAAACTCTAAAGGGATGGAGCCCAAGGCCTGCTTAACTGAAGCAACTTATAAGTAAGTGCGAATTTTCTTTGATCTAGAGGGACTTCTTTCAAGAAATCACAGATGTCTTGGTCAAAGAGTTGCTTGACAAGTATAGGAGACGCAAAGAGAACAGGAAAAAATTCTTGGGAACACATAGAAACAACACACAATCCTTCCCTCCTTGTCCCGTACTTCAACTTGAGTTGCTTTGTGCAACTGGGCTCCAGCTAATAGAAGACAACGTTCGTATCTCCTTTTCACTAGCCTACAGATCAGGCATTAGTAGTTTTGTGTTTTACAGGCCAGCGAAGGGGGATGAGAAGCGACCGGGGAGTGTGAGTTATTTTCCCCGCGCCTTCCCCCGACCCTCATGACTTGCACTTTATGCCCGCCTTTGTGCTTCGTTTGCTCAAAAAATGCGCAAAATAGTACCTGCTCTGCATGCTACCTTTTCACAGTCAAAACAGGCCACTACTTACATGGTTTACAATACCATCTGCTTCTTCTGTAGTCATTTTGTATGGTGAACTATCTACTGAGACATTTTTGCTGATGAAAAAGAAGGAAGAAATGGGTTAGTAACATTACTTATCAGACTGAATTTTTATGGGTACTGACCCTTGGGGTGAATGCATTGATTAACACTTTATTAATTCAAAATGGCTGTGTGACAGAAGAACCCCAGTAACTCAAACTCTGAAGGGAAACAAAAAACAGTTTGAGTTAGCAGGGGTTCGAGTTATCAAGATCGATTGAACATTCAATTTGCCACCTTAATAATTGATAAACATTGATGTTTCGGCATTTCAGAGTTAAGTGCAATGCAAATTTAATTTATTTCATCCGCTCAAACATGATTTATATGCATTGTTAGGATAAGACATTATCTGTTTGTTGCACCAACTAAAATCAAATTGCTGTAGTGCTAGTTCAGTGTGTTTTCAACGATTATTAAACTACAAGAAGAGGTAATGGAAAGATATCAAGTGGAGATGCATGAACCAGAATTTGAGTTACCGTTATCAGGGTAAATTTCAGTTACATTTGCCTTCAACTTCTGTAATGGCGTGACCGCATGCGTGACACGCCTAGTGATTAGTATGCATATTTGGTGTTATCAGTTTTGGAACGTGCAGCTTGTATTATAACGTACGTAGTAAAGGACTGTGAAAGACCTACGACGTAAGCTCGACATTAAATTGGCGACGAGGTAAAAGTGGAATGGCGGTAAACATTGGATACAAACAATTTCCCGAATTCGACGTTCGGAATGACCCCGAAACGGTATACGCGCGCTTCTCAAAATATGCTAAGCGGTTCAAGAACAACCACTTGAAAGCCTACAACATCACAGACAAGCACCAACAAAGATCATTGTTCCTAGATTCGATAGGCGAAGCCACACTAGATATATTCGAACAGCTTGACGATACGGGAACGGATTTGGACGGAGCTATCACCGCACTTCTGAACAAGTTCAAAGAATCGCAAAACCGGCTGTTCAATATACACAAATTTCGTTGCACTATACAGGGAAAAGATGAAACCTGGGACTCGTTCATCGCTAGGCTAAAAGCAGAGGGCGAACACTGTGATTTTCCGGCAGAATGGTTGGATACAGAGATATTAATGGCCATGATAACGAACGGCAAATCAAAGAGAGTGAGAAGAAAGCTTTTGCAAGACCAACTAACGCTAGCTGAAGCTCTCAAATACGCTCGTGGCCTTGAGAGTGCGGATCAACACGCTACAAGAGTAGAAAACCAAACGACGACCGAAGTGACTGTCAAGCAAGAAATCAATAAAACCACTGTCGACAAAGGTAGAGAAAAACTGTGTTTTAATTGCGGGAAACGTTGGCCACACCAGGGGGGGCAAAGGAAATGCCCGGCTTTTGGAAAACAGTGTACGCGATGTGGCAAAAGAAACCATTTTGCAAAGTGTTGCAAAAACAGGCAAGAAATTAAATTAGCACAAGGAGGCGAGCAAATATCTGACACATCGTCGGACAGCAGTGATGAAGAGTTCACGTGCACGCTGCAAGAGGTGAACCCCGTGGGACAGTCACACAATAGGCCCCTAAAAACAGTGCTAATTAGCGGAGTTGACATTACGGTACTACCGGACAGCGGTGCTACGGTCAACGCTATGGATGAGGCAACGTTCAAGAAATACGGCCTAGACAAAAGAGTAAAGGTTAGAAAGTCAAGATGCCAAATAAAACCATACGGGGCAGCGTCGAAAGCAAACACGCTGCCTGTTCTGGGTTGTTTTGAAGCACTTACGGAATCTAAGACAAAGATGAAAGTGATCACGTGGCAGCTAATAAAAGGAGACACCCGCACCGAACCTTTGCTCGGGTACAATGATGCGAGAGACCTCGGAATGATTCTTGTGACCAATTCAATTGCAACAGAAAGCAATCAGCCAGAAGGGACAGACAACCTGAATGAAGTGTTAGAGGAATACAAGGACCGGTTTCAAGGAATTGGAAAGCTAAAAGGAATCCAGGTCGATTTGAATGTAGACCCTGATTTTAAGCCGGTTGCACAGCCACCACGCCGGCAACCGTTCAGCGTACGTCAGAAGATGGAAGAAGAAATAAAGCATCTTATTGATCAAGACATCATTGAAAAAGTCAACGAACCTACAGGATGGGTGTCACCGCCTGTGGTTATGCCCAAGAAAGATCAGAGCCAGATACGTCTGAACGTGGACATGCGCGTGGCAAATCAGGCAATACCCCGCAGACACACCCAGCACCCCACAATAGACGACGTGGTCAACGAGCTGAGCGGGTCAACGGTGTTCTCCCACCTGGATATGAGCAAGGGATACCACCAACTTGAACTCAAAGAAAGTTCGCGGAACGTAACGACCTTTTCAACTCACATTGGCTTGTACAGGTATAAGAGGCTCAACTATGGTACAAGGTCAGCGGCAGAGATATTTCAAGAGACGATCAGAGAGGAATTGACGCACGACCTGAAGGGAGTTTTCAACATAAGTGATGACATCATTGTGCATGGGCGTGACAAAAAAGAACACGATGCAAACCTGGTAGCATTACTCGAGAGAAGCCGCGAAAAGAATGTCACATTCAACAGAGCAAAATGTGAATTCAGAAAAGATCGCGTGGTCTACTATGGCTTGATGTTCTCTAAAGATGGAGTATCTCCAGACCCATGCAAAGTGAAAGCCATTAAATCTGCAGGACGCCCTAGAAATGCAGCCGAACTTAACTCATTCCTCTGTACGGTCAGATATAGTTCACGATTCATGGAAGCCAAACAGTATCAGAAAGCGGCGTGCAAACTGGGTGAGCTAGTGACCGGAAAATTCGAATGGAAACCGGAACACTCAGAAGCATTCGAGGAACTTAAGAACATGCTCAGTAGCGACACAGTCCAAGCATACTTTGATCCCCAGGCGGAGCACGAGCTTCATATTGATGGGTGCCCTGTGGGTTTGGCCGCGACACTTACGCAGAGAAAGCCTGGAGAACAATGTTGCAGAGTGGTGCAATATGCCAGTCGGAGCCTCACCGACCCGGAAAAACGATATAGCCAGATTGAATTAGAAGCTCTAGCAGGTGATTTTGGGTGCAAGAAATTCCACCTGTTCCTGTATGGGAGACCCTTTAAGATCGTGACTGACCACAAGCCTCTTGCAAGTGTGTTCAACAAACCCACCCACACATCTTCGATCCGGGTCCAAAGGATCGTCAATCGTATGATGGACTATGATTTCATAGTAGAGTACCGTCCTGGGAAAGAGAACATATCAGATTACACGTCACGTCACCCTATGCCACTTCACGAGTGCTCCAAGTCCGAATTGAGAACGACTAAGGAGGTACGGCATTATGTAAACTATGTGGTAACGTGCAGCACGCCCAAAGCTGTCACCAGAGACCAGGTAAAGAACGCCACTGAGGAAGATCCAGCACTTCAGGCACTAAAGAAGTACATCAACCAAGGCTGGATAGACACAAACGATACAAGGACACACGAATTTCGGCAAGTTTTCCATGAACTAACCATAGTAGACGGGATTGTCTTGAGAGGGGATCGGATCGTTGTGCCCGCAAAACTCAGACATAGAATGGTGGAAATTGCGCACGAGGGTCATCAGGGCCAGGTGCGAACAAAACAGCTTTTGAGAGCGCATGTATGGTTTCCCGGAATGGACTCACAATGTGACAAATTCGTGTCCACTTGCATCGCCTGCCAATCTAACACGCCGCAAACGCATCGCGAGCCACTCCGGATGACAGACCTACCGGAAGGACCGTGGGAGAAGGTCAGCGTGGATTTTTGCGGACCAATGGCGAGTGGTGACCTCGCCCTCGTATTTTACTGTCAATATGCCAGATACCCAGTGGTTGAATTCGTGGGGTCCACGAGCGAGAAAGCAACAATACCGACTTTCAAGAGGGTGTTCGACACATATGGAGTGCCAAAAGAAATCAAATCAGATAACGGACCGCCCTTCAACAGCCATAAATTCGAAGAATACGCAAAAGAGGAGGGGTTTAAGCACCGGAAAGTGACACCCGGGTGGGCAGAAGCCAACGGCGATGTAGAAAGGTTCATGCAGAGAGTAAAGAAGACCGCTCGGATCGCCTCTTTGGAAGGCAAACCCGTGAGGGATGAAGTGAACCGGGGAATCAGGGCATACAGAGCAACTGAGCATGCGACAACTGAGTCAGCCCGAACAAGCTCATGTTCGGAAGGGAATTACGTGGAAAGTTCCCTGAAGTCAAGGGACAGCCTAAATACAGGGATGACACGATGATCCGCTGTCGGGACCGAGAGCAAAAACAGAAGATGAAACAATATGCTGATAAAAGAAGACACACAGCCGTGATGAAAATTAAAGTCGGGGACACTGTGTTGTGCAAGCAGGAACGTAAAACAGCCTGACCCCTCTGTATGACCCGGAGCCTATGGTAGTCATTGGCGTCAAGGGAAGCTTGGTCACTGCCAAGAACAGTGTTAGGATTCGCACCAGGAATTACGCCGATTGGAAACTGCTCAAAAATGGTTGTAGGGAATCACCGCGGTGTGATGATTCTGACAGCGGTGAGGCATTTGAACCGGATGAAGTTATAATTGAATGTCCAGAGCAATCCTTAGCAGGGCCGAGTGGGGATGCATTGCCAGCGGACAGACCCTTAGCAGGGCCAAGTGGAGATGCAGTTCCAGCGGACAGACCCTTAGCAGGGCCAAGTGGAGATGCAGTTCCAGCGGACAGATCCAGTGAATCAAGGCAAGGTCATGAGCAGCCAAGAGCAAACAGCGACACAGCTGAGTACGAGAGTAGGCAGAGATCTCGGCAGCCCGCATCAGACCGTGACACAGAGCGAAGACATGCGCCCTTGGACAGGCCCAGAAGGAAAACAAGATCCACAAAGGACACTAAATATAAGGACTTTATTTGCGAATAGCGAGAATTTGCGTGTCTACTAGCTACGTTAGAGCCTGTAAAGGACACAAGGGCTTACTCGTTATTAGCAACATTTAATTTATTTAGTTTATTTATTTATTTTTTGTTTGCTGTTTTCGTTCGCACCGTTGCGTCCCATCCACGTGATGGGGGGAGAGATGTAATGGCGTGACCGCATCCGTGACACGCCTAGTGATTAGTATGCATATTTGGGTGTTATTAGTTTTAGAACGTGCAGCTTGTATGAGAACGTACGTAGTAAAGGATTGTGAAAGACCTACGATGTAAGCTCGACATTAAAACTTCGAGTTAGCAAGGAATTCGAGTTAACCGGGTAAAAATGACTGAAAAGTGGGTTTGAATTCCAAGCGAAATGTGACTTACAGTAGTTCGAGTTAGCAGGCGAGTTCAAGTTTTCCAAGTTCGAGTTACCGGGGTTCTACTGCATTAGTCTTGGCTACACCCAAGTCCTCAATAGACAAAAATTACTTTTTATTGTTACATGCAATTATTTGTTCACAGATTAACTCTGAGTGGATAAAATTCAAAGTTTCTTACCAGGCTAAGCCTTTGTCATTTTCCACTTTCTTTAAAATGAGCTTTTTCCAACACTCATGTGTTTCATTAATGATCCTCATCGCAAATTCCTAGAATATTAAGATAAGAAAAAATATATCATACACTCAAAACCCATCATGGAAACAGCAGGTTCTACTTTCCAGGTATTCTACTCAGGGCTCAAAATAACGGCCGCGGTCAAATGATATGTCCAGCCAGAATGGAGTCTTGACTGGCCAAACCAGTCATGTTGACTGGTCACGCAGGCTGTATTTTTTAACAAACAGCCACATCCTTACCTGTAAATCTTAGATTTTGTCTCTTTGTAAAAATACAATCACATCCACTAACAGAAAATCACATGAGGATAAGGTTTAGTTCACTTTTTTTCTTAATCATTTGACCGGTCAGAAAATGAGAATTGAAGGAGCAAAAATTTCATTGGCTCAGCTGGTCATTGTGTCTGGCCACAGCCTATACATTATTTTGAGCGCCCCTCCTTTTGGCACAAAGTCTGCTGTAAAGGCAATGATATTATCTGCTCTAAAAAGGGAAGAGCTGAGAAGATTAAAGAAGTAGTTCACTGCATTTGTTGAAGAAGAATACATTCTTCTTATAGATTGGAACAAGATTGTATGGATTTGACCACCGCTCACAGAATGGACCTTGGGATATGTACAGTACCGGTATATCTGAAATCCCTGGAGATTTTGTGGGGGCAAATAACATCATCACCAACTTGACAGAGGAGACATAAACTGGCATCAAGATTAACTTGCATAGAGGTGTGCCCCGTTCTTTCTTGGTGCCCATTACTTTCAAGCGAATCCTATGCAGGGTACATCAAGATGGAGGGAAGACACTCATTAATCTTACAATGTATCTATCCCATACCTTGTTTTTGGCTTCATCATTAAAGGCAAATTCATTTTCTTTACTGCCAGCAGGTATTTTGTAGATCTTGAACCAGTCAATAGAAGCCTGTAAAACACATTATCTCCATCACTTTCATGATTAAAGCATTGTCAATATAATCATTTAACATCACAATTACCTTTAACAGTCCTGGCATGTGTTTCTCAATGTCATCAATGTCTAAAAAACAACAACAAGAAGAAATCTTCAGTATCATTAACACAAAAACACGATGAGTAAATACAAAAAGGCATGACTTTTGTCAATGGCAAATTCAGTCCATCACAAAGAAGCTTCAGAGCATTTGTAAATTCTTTCAACTTTTTTGCATGAGTTCAAAAGCACCATGTTGCAGCCAGTTTAGGTGAAATGACTTTTTGATCTTCTCTTCTTCACAGTACCACTGCCTAATGAAATATCAAGTATAGCTTGCATAGCAGGTGCTTGGAAGTAGTAGGCACAAGAAAAAAGGGGCGCACGAGAAGGGTACAGCCAAGCCCCGCCTTACAGACACCCACTTTATATGGACACCTCATTATTACCGACAGTTTGCTTTGTCCCTGGTGATCAAAAGAAAGCCCTTACATTTTTTCTATATTCAACCCACTTATCATGGACACCCCGTTACACAGACATTTCCTATGGCCCCCTGAGAGTCTTTACTAATGGCGTTTGACTGTACATCAGAATAAAGGCAATGATCACTTGGCGACAGGGTGGAAGGGGAGGGGGGTTAGTGTGAAAACCCTTGTTTTGAAGAGATATAAACAGATCAGTTACAATATAAAAGAAGTCTTGTAGTACAAGGTGGCAAATTGAAAGCATTTTGTCTTAGACAGGGTTAGGGTCTGAAAGCCACCTAAGACTGACAAAATTTAGAGTTAACCCATTAAGCCCTAAGAGTGATCAGCATTAAATTTCTCCTTGTAACATCAATGCTTTGTAAAACAGAGTGGTCATGAGAATTACAGACATGATCACACGAGATGAATTTGCTTGATATTTTATGAACTTCTCCCCACTACTTCTGTAGGAAATTAAGAGAGGCAACAAATGAGAATTCAAATTTTGATCTTGAGGTTTAAAGGGTTAAACAAGTTCTCCTAACCAGTACAGAAGGAAAAGGGATAACAACTTATTTGGAAATCATAATATCCTAATACAGACAACTCCCTTTATATCGGACACTACTGGGACCTTGAGTCAGTGTCCTCATTAGTGAGAGTCCATAATAGCGGGAGTTTATTTCAGTCAAACATCTGTACATTATTATTCCTGGGATCTAGCCGTGGCCGTGTTATCAGGGCGTCCGTTATAGCTAGGTGTCCGTGCCCGCAAGGCAAGAGATGACTGTGTTGGAATATATATTAATTTATATGACAGGTATATTAAGAAGTCCAGGCTTCAAGTTAGAAAAACCTCTTTGTACTTCACAGTGCTAGCCTAGATGTGAGTTTAATGCAGTACTACAACACTACAATAATTATTTAATCTTACCTTCCATGTCCTTTGCAAGAGGATCATTTACATCAATGCAAAAGACTTTCCAGTCTGTTTCACCTTCATCAATCAAAGCGATAGTCCCTAAGATTTTAACTTGCTTAACATCGCCTCGTTTGGCAATCTAAACATTTGAGAAAAGTAAACAGTCATGTTTTATTTTATTACACCATTCACAACTCAACAGCCTGTGACGGTCCCAAACCATGCCCCTTGTATCACAAAACAAAGTTTTTTTAACTTTGACTCGGACCTGTGAATTTGGAAAATCCATCAATATACCCTGAAAGAACCCCTTAAAATCAGTAAAGTTGCCAAGTTTGAAAGTGATTTGTTGAAAACTAATGAAGAAATAGCCCCAGAAAGTTGTGAAATTTTACTCATGTTTCTATGTGGGGTCAAGTTTGTGCCCCCACCATACACAAACATCATTGCATACATGCCAACTCTCCTGGATTATCCAGGAGTCTCCCAGATACAGCGCTGATCTCCCGCTCTCCTGTATGGGTCACCATATCTCCCGGACAAAATTCCTGTGCCTTAGTTTGAGATTTAGCCCATTTTAAGCTCAAAACTTCAATTTTTCGGTTTCTGGGGCATTTTTGCATGTATTTGGTCATTGACAAAGATTATTTCTGACATCAAAACGATGATTGTGAAATTTGATAGTATGTACTTCATATAACACATCATATAATGTCCTAAGTCATTCCCATTGGGGGCAGCATCAATTTGTTGGGGGGGGGGTCTGTTGAAATTCCCGGGGCGAGTGAAAAAAGGAGAGTCTCCAGAGGTTGGCATCTCTGTCATTGTAAATTTCCGTGACTTTGAGGAGCCATATCTTTGCTCACTATAGACATATCAGTCTCAAACTTAGCAAGTTCACTAATGTTAAGTTGCTTTTTTAGTGGTGTCAGGGTGCACAGAAAATCATTTTTACAGCTTGCCATTCGGGCAAGCTGAAGCCAGCATTTTACTAGCCTAGACGTCATTTCAACTAGCCCCAAAAATATTTTGATCAGAAGAATTAATTTCACAGTTCTTCTGTTATTCGAATTCCTCAAAAAACATCACTTGCCCGTCGGGCAAGTTAAAAACAGAATTCAGTAGCCCGATAGCAAAATCCACTAGCCCTGGGCTATTGGACACTACTTTCTCTGTAGGCTGGGTGGCGACAAATTTTTACCAAATGATCCCCATTAAAACTTGAAAAACTGTGGAAGGGTAGAAGATATTATTTATGATGTGTGTACATGTACATCACTGTGATGTTTACGAATGCAGATGGAAGGCATCTTTCATAAAATACCATGGCCAACTGAGCTTGTTTAAGTCATAGCGAACCAGAGACAAACAAAAATTTTTTTGTGTAACTTTCACTAAAACTTAAAAAAGGAAAACTCCTCCTACTACCTACCCACCTTAGTGACTTTAACATTATAATTTTTATCACTTTTTCAACTTTTTCACCAAGAATGGACCAAATGCCCAACAAAAGGGGAAAGAAGTGTAAAAAAAAAGGTCAAAGATCACTCCTGCTCAAGAAAACTGAGAAGCTGTGTACCATTAATAAACTAGCAAACAGGGCAGGGGCATTTTTCAGGCGAGTGAGTGCAAGGATAATGTGGGTGTGGCGTGCAAGACAGACACTTTCGCAGATGGCACAACTCCATGCCTGCCTCATGCATGGCCTTGCTTGCCTAGTAAATGAAAATAAATAAATAAATAAAAATAATAAATAAAAAATAAATTAATTAATGATGAACTAACCATGGTACCAATCTCACAAGCATCAATTGGATCATTATCACCCATGCATTTTGTGTCTTTATCCTTGTGGTTTGGATCTTCCCATGTCTGAAATTGACAGATAAAAATAAAAAAAAAAATGAGGGGTCAATTTCATTAAACTTTTTCAAGAGCTTAGTGTAATTTAAACGTGTAGCTATTTGTCTTAAAGTCTGAAAACAATAGCTACACTTTGGAATTGCACTTGTAAAAGTTTTAATACAATAAAATTGGCCCTAGATAAAAAAAATTTCACTAATATTATCAAATGAGTTTGTGGATTAAATCTCTGAGTGACTCTTCACGTGAGGTAGCCTCATAATTTATTATTATTTTTCAAATCCTATCAGAAGGCCTTATATATCTCAACTTTGTTACCGGGATACTCTCCTTCTCAAGTACGAGAGAACCCTGGAAACGAGGTGCACTAAATCTTTCATAAAATCTGTCTTTAATTCTTTGCTATGCAGATCCAATGAACAACAAGATTTATCTGTGATAGAAGGTCTACCCTTTTAATCATTATATTAATTTTTCTCACCTGAGGGAGAGCACCATAATTCCAAATGTAACCGTGGTAAGGGAAGCAGTTGTGCACATATCGTAGTTTTCCCTTCTTACAATCTTGCTTGATGGGATTAAGTGCTTCTTTGGTAGCTATCTAAATCAAATATAATACAACAAAATCCACTTAAAATAAAAATGCAAGCTACTAAAAATCAGTAACTTTGTACAAACACATCTACTGTACTTTATGGAAGATAACTTTATTGCAAAGTTTAGACATTGTAGTTTCATGTTGTTTCTTAAGTTCTTTATCCTGTATTCGAGGTAGCATGATACACACAGCAAACTTGAGAGATCAGACAAAATCATTGTCAAGTGGTTGCTTACATGTAAGAGAGGTTAAAAACAATGAAAAATCATTAGCTGTCCTCCCCAAATAGTTACCATGGTCTGACTTACAGGAAGTGGTTCTTTATAAAAGGTTTCAACTGTGAAGCCTTGACAGGAAAAGTTTTGGTGTTTTGGATAACTGGTATTTATGAAAAGCAACGAATCATAACTCAGATGAATAAATGTGATCCAAAAAATGAATTTAAAACTAGTAGTAATCATAGATCAATAAGTGCGTTCGAGTTTTCTTAGCTCCAGATTAGCTTTTGTGTCGTCAAGCAGGATTTCAAAATCATGGAAGCGTCAAAATCATGGAACCGTCAGCGTCACGGTTATTCCCTATCAAGAATCTTTATCTTTTCTGTGAAAACACATTAAATTTAACAAACGGCTCCTTTAGGAGCCACCACATTCGTAAAAGTTAATAACCAACGATTGCATAATGTGTTTCTTTACTTTAGCTCGGCTTATACGTAAATACATCTCGATTTAGTAGAGTTTCCATGCGCCGGAAAAATTTTTTTTTCAAAAACTTTCGGCTATAAGCCGAGACCCCCTCTATAGCCCAAATTTTAATTCACTTCAGTTTTAATTTGTGTAAAAATCGCTCGGCTTATAGTCGAATAAATACGGTAACTGGTACTGCTTTTGGGAGGTAGTCATGTAAAAGAGGAAATGTTGCACATGAGGTTTCAACTTTAATATAAAATCACTACAGGGCTGTCACTAAGATTTCAAGTTACCAGGTTTCAAATACAATAAGTGGGCAGGGAATTAAAATGCTAGGGATTTCTTTTGCTTCTGTTTTTCATTTATTTTCCTCTGAAAATTTCATATCCAGGGGCCACATTCATAACAGGAAATCCCCAGCCCCTGGCTTAATGGTAAAGGGAAAGCAACCATATTTCATGTTGATAACTCGTGACAGTAATAATAAACTGATAAACTTGAGGTCGACAGTGCATCCATTTACCCCCCACCACCCCGTCTATCCATCAATGCACCATTTTAAGGGTATTTCAAGCTAGTCAAAGCTACACAGAAAGGAGAGAAGTTGAAACAAGGATGTGATGTTACCAGGGATTGAACCTCGGACCTTGCGCACCAAAGGCTGCGCACTAACCAACTGTGCCACCCTTGCTGCTAATGACAGCCCCGATATTCGGTGACAAAATGATGGACTTGACAGAGATTAATTGTGTTCGATGTTAGGAGAACGCAACACATAATCTTGGAATTCCTGTGGTACTCAAGGGTGACCTCTTGTTGAACTCATTTCATCATATGTCTGCATTTTCTGCACCATCTTGAATAAGAAATCTATCTTGTGGACACAAAGATGTTAAATTTGACATCCAGTCTTTGGCAATGGTTGTGTGGCGCAATAGATAATGTGTTCTCTTTACACGTCGAAGGTCTTGGGTTCGACTCCTGCCGGGTGAGACTTTTTTCTTTTTTCGTAGTTGTTTTGTTTTGTTTTTTTTGTTAAAAACAAACATATAGGAAGCATTTTGCAGCATCAATTTATTAGGAAATAATGTCACATTTGACAGTAAACCAAAGAAAGCTCGAACGCACTTCCTAATCTGAGATTACTACTAGTTTAACGTGTACAGTGGGTATACATGTAGCTTTCATGAATACATGTATTTATTATTAAACAGTAAAGAAGGTAAAACAGAAATGTGTAAAGTGATGAGAACTATAGCGAATACAACAAGGGGTTATTCCAGAAAAAATCCACACCCCCACGACAGAAGGCATGGTTTTTTGACCCCCCCATCCACCTGGATTTCCAAAACTGCTTGAGTCCCCCCTCCCCTAAGGATTTCCAAGTTCAAAGACCCCCCCCCTCCAATCTGGATTTCCATAAAATTGTTAGACACCGTGATTTTACTTTACACTCAATGTAGAAGAATCCTTTTAGGCAGATGGTCCTTTTTGTTAAATAAGTCTCAGTTTTCCGTGAATTTTGTGTTTGTTGTGAACGTTAAGATTCCATTTTCACATCTTCTTAAACAGGCTTACACTTTTTGCAAATAAGCTCATATTTGAGTGAACTTCAAAAATATACAGCAATAATACTACAATAGGGCTCAAAACTATGTTCTCGAATAAATGACTCTCTTCTTATGTTCATGACCGCGAAAGAAAGAAAAAGGATATTTAGCTGGATATTACATGATGCGCTGTACCACTTGCCACAACACTTGGCTCTCAAAATAGCCGCCAAACAATCACGAACAATCACGCTTACAAAATGTACTTGTAAGGCCTGTTTAGCGGTAAATCACCCTGAAATAGCATTAACCTTGGAAAAATGTATAATTCAAGGTAAAATCATTGTTTGCTTTACTTGAACTGAGCACTTTTTTCAATGAATTATGCGATTTTTCTTGATATCTTCAAGTTATCCCATGTTGCTTCTACAAAAGTAACAAGGGCGAGCCTATGGATGGAAACTTAAAACAAATGTGGTAAGAGGTCTGTAGTTTGAAAGAATAATGAAATTTGAAAAGGCAAAGCAATTTTTTTAAAACTTATCAATTGAAGCGATTGACACATCGATGAAATTGAAAGTTAACGTTACTCCCGAGGATGCACTTTTAGGTTCAGAGCCCCCCTCCCGTGAGATTTTCTAACATGCCTTCCGTCGTAGGGGTGTGGATTTTTTCTGGAATAACCCAATATTACTTTTATGACGTATCCAGGACAGAAACTAACCGCTTCTTACTTCTCTCCTAGTACAAGGTACAAGTAGTGCTCACATCCAATCTCTGCCAGACTGGAAAATGCAGCTGACCTTAATAATGTGCACATCATTGAGTTAAGAAGAATGAAAGATTGCTTATTATGTCAAGTTGACATTAGAATGAAAACAGAAGGTTGACACACCTCCATCTTGGCATTAGTCCACCGGGGGACCTCCACAACCATGTTGCAAACTGTTTTCTAGAAAAGAAATCAATCAACAGTATATTTAGTGAATGCAAAAATTTCTGTGGTACAAGACAGACAGTTGAAGGGATGTCTTTAAAAAAAGCTCCAAGTTCATGTCTTTTAATCAAATACTAGACTTTCCTTTAGTGTAAAGATGATACTGGCACAATATTAGGTTCCTTTTTACATTCCCTTCTAAAGGTATGTGGACAAAATCCTGTGTGTTTTACCATTCAAACAAAATCTCTTAAGCAATACTTCTATACACTTGTACTATTTCTTTAGTATGTAATTCTAACTGTTGCACAATGACAGTGTCCTACAGAGAGTATAGCATGACCACTAAAGTGAAACCTTTTCAGTGGTAAGTTTATGTCTGACAACTTAATTACAATAGTATGACTTGCATCTCTAAAATTAATATTATTGTGGAAGAAATGCATGTGCGACCAATCAAAATCAACACTATACCTTCACATCATTGTTGGTGCTACTTACTATGTACATACTTCTAACTTTTGAGTGTGTAAGAAAAACATGTTGTGACCATTCAAACGAAACCTATTCAGCCGTACTTTCACACAGTACTAGTAGTTAATTAATTATTTAATATGTAGTTCTAACTACTGAGTCTGTGGATGAAATCCTGAGGTGTTAATGTTACCGTTCAAATGAAACCTTAATTCTGTAGTTATAGCTTTCACATGGTACTATCAATTTTAGTATATACTTCAAACTCAACCAAGCAAGGGTTTCAATAATGATTGAAATAGCCAGTAGGTTTGAATAGACTACTATGGACTTATATCAACAAAGTTTTGTTACAAGTTCTCCATTTTGAGTGTTTAGTGAGGTGAGCTGCAACAATACCACATGGGGTGGAGAATTCCATTTAGGTTTCAGGGAATAGAAAACTAGGTTTTTCTATGGACCCAGTGAGAATATAGTTCAAAACCACTTAAACATAAAGTTTTGTTAGGCATATTTTTATCCTCTAAAAATTTTTCATCCATTTTGAGTGATTTTAGAAAATTTGAAAAAAGGTGAGGTGACCTTTTTAGGGTAAAAATCCGTTAAAACAAATTATACCCACGAAAATAGGGGGTGGAGAAATTTTCAACAAATGTTTGAAAATTCTAGATCCCAAACTTCTAACAGATATTCCAGGGATGTAGCTGCCCCTTGGGTTTTTTTTTTTGCAGAGCTATTTGGAAGGTGATAAAGCTACAGCCAGCAGCCAGCAGCCATACATGCATGTAGCTGATATTCCCTTAATGGGGAGCTTGCACGCAAGCTATTCAATAATAAACAGTATTTGACTCACCTCATCATTTGCAAACAATGAAATGTCATGAAAAGGAGAGACAGCATGTCCTTCTTTATCACCTGACAAAGATAAGATTACATTATCATTTTTTTCTTTAAAATGTCATAATAATAATTATTGTTATCTTTTGTTGAGAGTCTGACAGGGTTTGGATACACCAGATACTAAATTAATGTACTAAATCAATAGAGACTGAATTTAAGTTCACAATAAAATAATATATTATTTATATTTTGAACTGCTGCTTGGTAACTCACACAAAGAATGGGGGGTAGATATTACAGTTTTGATTGATGGTAACTGATTGTTTTTTTTTTGTGTGTGTTTACAACAAAAATGCTGAAAACATAAATTTGCAGTAGCCTGAGAAAACAGTCAACATTTTGCAATGCCACCATGCTGGTTTCCCGGCATAATGATGTCTCAGAAATGATTGCAGAAACTCCATACCTATGATGTGTCACTGTCCGGATCTGGGTGGTAGATCAGAAGCAAATTTTCAACCAATCAGAAGTACTACCCAGATCTGGGAAGTGAGGTATCATCAGTATGGAATTTCTGCACTCATTTGTCAGATGTTATTTTGTGTGGAAACCAGTAGTAGTGTTGCTAAAATCATGTTGGCTGTTTTCTCAGGCTAAATTCCCAGCTGATTAAAAGTTCTAGTCATTTTCCGACCATCCTCTTGGTTCAGGATCAAGAGTTTTTTCTTTCAGCCCTCTAATGCGTTTGGAAAATAATGACAAAATGTCGAGACATTTTGAGGCTTTTGTCTCGTCATCTTCGTAGGTAGGTTAGGCATGGTTATGCACGTTAGATACATTACATTTTTAAAACAAGGGACACATTTGCACCAAGGCAAGCAGCTGGAGAAAAACATACACCATCAAATAAAATTGAAATCTGTTTTCAGTTCATGGGGATGGATGCTGTAGCTGAAAAATAATGGCCACCCAGTGGTTGATAATTGTTGTTGGAAGTGGGGCACAAAATTTGTGACCATTTAATGGTCTAGACATTCTGTCACACCAGCAACTGTTACACATATGATGAATTTTGTTTTACCATATTTGGCTGAGCACAAAGTCTAACTTTCATTGTATCTTACACAAAGTCGAGATTAAATGAAGATACAGTGCGTGCATGGACCTGTATAATGTAAGAGGTACCAGTTTAATTTCCCAGCATTTGGTAGGAGGCGTTACACAGTCAGATTCATGTTTTTGTTCTTGTAGCTGACCATGTGAATGAAAATTCGGGCAAATGTGACAGTGCATGTTGCAAATGAATCCACCCTTAAATTGCTGTGACACTTTTAGGCTGCTATAATTTTCCCGTCTCTGTAACGTGAAAAAACCCTTTCAGTTAATACACTGACTTAAAATGACTTTTTAAAAATTCATGACATAGTGTCACCTTTAGGACTCAGTGTAGTGATCAACCCATTTGCAATCTTGTCCACCTCAAAACTGAGGAATTTCAACAACTTTTTCCCCTATTCCTGCTCATCTAACATACTTGGGATGATTCTTTGTCCTTTTTTTACATTAAGAGACGCAAGTCGCCAGCAGTTTACTGCTCTAGACGAAAGCAAATGAAGCATGATCCCACAAGATCCAGGGTAAGCGAGTCGATATGCGATGCAATTAGATCACCTTTCTTTCAAAACTGTGAAGCGTATTCATCAAATTTCGACATCAAATTTCTTTAACAGTAAGTCAAACATTCAATTTACAAAGGGCAAAAAGTCTACAAATATAACAAATTTTCTTCGATCAACTACTATTCATTCACCATATCTGGCCACTGGGGAAAGCAGCTCGAGATTTACACTCGACTACACACGATCGAAAATAGTTATACTTACGGAAATACATTCGGTAATCGAGGGAGTTAGGAGCTCCACTTTCAGCGGTAGAATAATCTAGTGATCGTTTCATAATGGACGAAAAATAAAGTGCTCTTTTTGCTTGAAAAAGGCTGCAAGTACGCACGCTATGACGTGGTAGGGATGAAACATGAAGAAGAAAGGTCGCTGCTTTGAAATGAGCCATTTCTCAAAAGGAGATTAGATATAACACGAGCTCCTATTGGTTCACGTAGATATAAGCGACGATGCAATTGGTTAGTCTGGATCGTTCCAGTCGATTCGCTACAATTTCTAGGAAACGTACATCAGTGAAGTCATGCACGATGCAGCCCTCATGGTCCTCATAATGCGGAAAATTTCCCGGAATTTGCGGACGCAAAGGATACTAAAACCACTCGAGAATGTGATGATGCTTCAGAAGTTCATTGACCTCTTTCGCTTTCCTTCTCAGTGTAAAGAATGCGGTAGTTAGGTTTGAAACCCTTACGTGACCGACAAGGCGTGACTTCGTTCATTTCTTCTATAAAACAGGAACGGGCCTCTCAGGCCGAATATTGGACAATGTATTAACGTGAGATATGGGACTCTTTTTTGCTTTCGTTTGTCACGTTTCAGGGTATGGTAAATAAAATTACGGGGGACAAATCGAAATGAAGAGCTTGAACATGTAGGAGAGCCGCTAAACTAGGGCCCAAAGAGGAAGAAGAAAAAAATGAACTACAACAGGTAATGATTCTGGCCTGTGAATTAAATAAAGCAGATACCTTAAATCCTCTATTAAGCTCCCCCCTCTCAAATAAGCCCCCTCCCTCTGATAAGTCCCCCCTTTTTGGGGAAGAAAGTTGATAAGACCCCCCTCTCTATTAAGCCCCTGCTTCCCACCCCTAATTATTCTTCACTAATAAATGATAGACTGTATTAGTCAATCACGACCGTAAAACTTCGTGTGGACTAATCCGGGATGGTTTATTTACCAACTGGAAAGTCCGATTTGATTTTGCTGCATGACCTAAAACGCCTAGTATTTGAGCGTTTCCACTTTGTATTCTAGTTTTATTTTATGGAAAACTGATACCATCGTCGTTGCTAAATTAACTAAGCCCCCGGCCCCCTCTCAAATATTAAAAAGCCCCCCCCCGTCTCCATTGAGCCCCCACTCAAATGGGTTTGACATAAATATGCCCCCCCCCCGCAGGGGGCTTAATAGTGGATTTACGGTAAGCTCTTCTTTTCATTTCTTCAAAGCTTTCTGTGAGACCGAGACATTCTTTCCCAACAGCCATTTTAATATACAGTGAGATCAAACAGCCACTGAACATCGAGATGTTTCCTAAAAATAAACTACTGTCTGGTGTGTTGAGAGAGGAGGGGTTGGGGAAAAAGAGTTATGTGGGAAGGGAGGGTCTTGACTAGCTAATGCAAGTTGAAGTATCAAGGGGGCCTTCCTTCAAACCACATCTGGCTTTAATTCCTTGGAACACATGAACATTCCAATGATGTTTCTGGTGTTCACAGGCTTCTGAGTTAACAGTCATAGGGTCAGGATACATATAACACCTTTGCCGTTAAATGAACATGATGACAGTCATTGGATCAAACAATAGCAGAGAATAATACAGTTAAGCCCCAGTTGTTCAAAAGGTGGATAATGCTATCCACCGATAAATCTCTATCAAACGGATAGTGCAATTATTGGTTTACCTTAAATTCTTCTGCACTGGAAAGTGATCTATCTGGTGGATAGTGCTATCCAGCTTTTGAACAACTTGGGCCATGACGTTTTTATTGTGTTTTAACAAGCAAACCTCACATGAAGCACATCATTTAACCAATGCTCACAAAAATAAAGATTTTTAAAACAGCATTAAAAAACTTCCACAAGACAGTCTGTGGAAAGAAAATGTTTCAATACCTTGACAATTAATATTCAGTTTAAACTGAATCATTATCTGTATGGGATAAATATCATTAAATCAATCACGTTTTAATATAACTATAAGAACTTTTAAAGGTGATGAAAACATTGTAAAAATGCTTAGGTAGGAATTCTAATTAACAAGCAGTGCATGTAAAAATAAACCTATCTCAGAAATTATAAGGACCCAGTAAAAAATTCCAAGGATTTTGAATCTTTGGCAGAAGTAACTATGCTGGCTTGGAAATAGAAATTTTGAAATTTGTAGATAGCCATTTTAATACAATAACATAATAACAGGTACGACATAAAAGCTTTTGATGTAATATTAATAGACATGCCCTTACTACAAAGGGCTTCGAAAACTACACTGTATCCCTTACTCCTTAGAAGCACTACTATTACCAATACATACATGAATAATATTATTATTTGATTATTAACTTTAAAAAAAATTGATGGGGGTGGGCTTACCCCTGACAAAAATCACAAGAAAAGATTTAAACCCTCAAGATGACAGTCAATATTATGTTTTAACCTTAAAATATGAGATATCAGAGATCTTAGCCTGAATAGCCGTGCATGTTTTTCAGGTTTGACTCAACTTCTAAAAAACTCTACCAGTTTTATTTCTTACCCCAGGGAATTCTAGCATTTTCCCTCTAAAATGTCTGCGCCATTTACTACAAGGACGTATGCATCCACCCATCTTAAATAAAATTGTTGCTCAACCAATCTCTAAGCCTTTCTGCGTATTCTAAAAACCATTGGGGTAGAATCCTACAAGCCAAAAGGCCCTGAAACTTCAACTTCCAAGACATGAAAAAGTGGCAAAAGGCACAAAGATAGATTGAAAGGGGACAGAAAAGAAGACATGCGAGCTGACCGTGACAGGAATTTACATGGCTTTCTCCTCAAGATATGAAACAACAGGTTTTGAAGTTCAGACAAGGGATCCCCTCCTAGAGGGTCTCAAAGCTACTTAGCAACCTTCGATGACCTTTTGCCAACCTGGTAATGTAGCCATTTTAGCAGGCCGGGGAGGGTGTGTGGGGGGGGGGGGGGGGGTCTTCATTCATGATGAATTGAGGGGGCCATCTCGCTGTAGAGATTGCCCTTGTTGCGGTCATAGTCTCAACCCCTATTCAAGTCATTTGTCCTTGCCACTTGTCTGAATTTGACCCTAACAAGGCCTTCAAGCTTACCAAATAATGTTACAGTTTATTCTTTCGCACAAAAATGTACTCTTGGAATTGAGTACCTGCTTCATCTGCATCACTTCCACCACCATTACACCCTTCAAGAACAAAGCCATGCCCGTATAAAAGATCAAAGGCGTCTGCCTTGGTCAATTCAGCACCCCCGGGTTTCCATGGGACGCGATAATCCCTGACATACCCCCGGGCGCGGAGCAACGTCAACACGAATTCCGAAGTCTTGATATACTCTTTAAAAACTTCTTTCACGAGATCTTCTCGGCCACTTAATAACAGCTGGTTTCGATATCGGTCCACGGAAACGATTATCGTGCCTTGGCCTTCACTAAGCTGTAAATTTCTTCTGCGATCTTCCCGGAATATTTGGAGTGCTTCAATCAGGTCCTGTACTTGATAAAAATCAGCTTCCGCGCTAAGCTGGTCAAATTCGTCGAACGATTGAGGCAGACAGAGCTCTGAAGTTCGCAAGAAGTTTAGAATGTGACGAAACATCGCTCCAGCTCGATCGATAAAATAATTTCCACGCGTATCCTTGGCTATTTGTTGTCTGCCACTAAACATCGCGCCGAGCATGGAGTTCGGATCTCTAGCGATGGTGTCAATAGTTGTCGTGTACACGTAACCGCCGACGTTCACATTTATAATTCGTGGAAAACCCTCTTCCATTGCAATATTACAACATCAGCGTATCAGGTCTTCATCTAGGAAGGCAAAATTGTTTTAAAACTAGAGGTTCATTGATCGTGGCACTGTTGTGTTACTCCCGGCACCCCGGGGGGTACTTCCTTATATTTGCTCTATAGGTATGGAGGGTATGGTTTTTGCGCGTTTCGGTCTGAAAACGGGTATACACGTTGCCTATTTTGGTCTGAATTCGGGTACGGTTTTCAAGGAAATGCATGAACGTATTTGTCGATTCAATTCCAAAGGAATAAGAAAGAAAGAGTATAAATATGCGAATACGAGAGGGATTTTAAAACATCTCTTTGTTGGTGGCGTTCTAATCTAAATTTAATATGATAACATAATTTCTGCCTACGCCAGGCCTGAAAACGTGTATGGATTTTAGAGGCCAGTTCTGAAAACTGGTGTGGAAATGACAATGTTTTGGTCTGAAATAGGGTCAGGGTTTGGATAACCAGGCGGCACACCCTCTCGATCAATTCCCACGAATACCCCCCGGGCTCCCTGCTTCACGCCTCACGTGGTGTATTGTCTGCGCGCGAAAAGCAGCTACTTTCCAGGGTGGAGAAAGAGCTTCACAGGGCGGTCATTCAGGTGAGGGAGGGGTAAGGGTGCTCTGTAATATATGTGTGCCGCCCAAAATTTGAAGGGTACGGTTTTTGTGTCGTTTGTGTCTGAAAATGAGTCACGATATAGATTTTGTCCGTTATCGCTCGAAATTGGGTATGATTTTCAAGGGCGCCACGAGGGTGCGCGTTTAAACATAAGGTTTTTTGTCCGTTCAACTCCAAATGGATGAGAACTACGATGTGAAATACGAGAAATACGACAAAGCAGTTCAACTTTCAGAAGAAAGGTCTGAAGGAGAGTGGACCTTAGAAACGAGATTTTAATGAGTGGACTAGCCTGCGTGGCGCGTGGCAGGCGCAAAAAGGGCATGGAGAGGGGGAGGGAGAAAAGCACGAAAGAGGGGAAAGGGAAGGGAGCTTCTCCCTTCCCCTCTCTCCCCTACCCCCCTCCCTTTTCCCCTTTTTCCCTATCCCCTTACCCCTTTCGACATCTGCTACGCGGGCTATGAGTGGACCAGAGAGACCCTGGGGTTGGTTGTGTTCCATATATGACGCCTCACTAGCACAGTTGAAACCACCGCTGGGCATTTTTTTTTTGTAAACAGACAACATGGCGGCTGTGGGCGTAAGTAGGGTGTGACATGAAAGAGACAATGAATCCAAACACTCGCTGCGTATCGTTCGTCGAAAACCTTCAGTTAGAAATTTCCGATAGCTTGTTCAATGAATCCATTTTGCTTGCTGATGTCGATAACGACGACGATTACGAGTTGGTGGTTGGTCAAATAAATGGAGACTTGTTGATCTTCAAAGGCAGTAGCCAAAAACCATGGCGAACTTGTCGAAAATTGGGAATGATAACGTGCGTTGGAGTGGGGGACTTATGGAATCAGGGTGAAAATTTACTTTTTTGTATCACTGCAGAGGGATGGTGTCATATGTTTTACGTAAGTTACAATGTTCAGCACGTAAAACCCTATTGGTGTGGTTAAAGTTAATTTGCCTTCTAGACCGACATATCTCGGTCGATATATCGGTCGAGTGTCGGTCGATATGTCGACGGATGTATCGGTCGAGGGGTGCACAAATTACACACGATCCGTTAACTTGAGAACTTAATAATGATTATTTTATTTTACCCACCAGTTGTGTATAAAACTCGATCCCTTATGATTGCAGGAAGTGAGGAAAACCCTTTACAAATGATATTTGTGTCTTCCATGATACATTTTTCTTATCAGCATACGACTTAACTCATAGAAGCGTATATATAAACTAAATGCAAAAAGTTGAAAGAGCTGATTAATCTGAGCAATTCGTGCAATTTTCAGCTTTTTACAAGCAATATTGAAGGGAATATCAGCCATCAAAAACTGCAAAATTGCTGGGTGGCAAAAAAGTTAATGAGCCATACATTCTGTATTGTATTGGGTGCAAATTTTCAGAGATCACTGAAACTGTTATGCCCTTTCAGTATTCTGAGTTTTTATTTTATTAGCATAATCAGATACATGTAGTGAAAAGTATATGTTAATGAGGCACAAAGTGTAAATTTGCCTATAATTTGCTTTGTGGGCCTCTAGTACTGGGTGTCTTGTGGTTTCATTTGGAATCTTTTTTGCATCTTTTGTCCTGGTTTTCAGTTGCTGGGATAATCTTGGATGATCGGGGATTTGTCTGTTTCCCGACCGTCCCAGACTTTGCTGACTAATACAAAACTGGAAATCATCAATAGCGTTTGAGATGGGCGGAGAGACAAATAGGGAGAATTGGGAGCATTGCTATTTCTCCAATGCATCCCAGGCCCCAGTTGTTCAAAAGTTGAATAGCATCTTTCATCAAATTGCATGCAGTGGATATTGGGAAAACCGATATTATTGCACTATCCAGTGGATAGAGGTTTATCGCGTGGATAGCGCTATCCACCTTTTTAACAACTGGGGCCAGATCTCTGAGATGTAGTCATTCCTGACATGTGAAAACTCAAATTTGTACTATTGAGGATGCCGGGGATGGGTGCAACATTTTTGCTTGGGCCCAGTTCTCTAACTGCTTATCAGGACAGCTTCCTATCCTCTCAAACTTGTAAAGGCTGCACTAGTGAAATAGTCACAGTCTGTTGGGTATTTTTCCAAAGTGACAGAGTGATGTAAATGTGGAAAGGCTTGACTGCAGGCTCAATAAAAATCCTGAAAAAAAAAATGACTTAAGAAGGGGGAGCTTCCTGGTTTATACAACAAAATAGGCAGTGAGGTTTCATTTGAATAGTAACACCATAAGATTTTTGCAGACTCAAAAAGTTAGGATGAGTGTATTAGAACCTCACTTTACATATTTTAAGACTTTATCATTCACTCTGGGAGTTAATTAAAGGGCCAAATTGCAAAAAATGATTTATTCAACAAGAAAAATTAATATGAAATTTCATTAATTAACTGCCCAAAGACTTGTGTGTACTAAATACTGCACATAGCTGCCAAACATTATGCAGTGTTTTCAAGTGAGTATTTCTGACTTGTTTCAGCCTTCTCAATCATTTTCATCTTGGGCAATAAATATCCACAAGGTGCTGCTACACATATTTAATCTACTATGATTTGAGCTGCACTCTTAAATGTAGCCTTTAAACAGCTTCGGGTAGGCTCCCAACTGGAGCAGAGCAGAAAAGAAAAGCAGCGAGCGAAGCATGCCGAGTGTGGACTGGGGGAGATGAGAAGGCGGGGGAGCCTTTAGACTTTGCTTTGATGCTGCCTAATCCACCAACTTGCAATTATCCAGTAACACATATATGTCTATAACATGTCAAAAAGGTTTAAATATTACACCTGCCAAGTATGGTGTTTTTTACACTTGAATGCATTGGTTTCAATATCATTTGCATGCATGTGGGTATATTTCGTGGAAAAATTATGTGGAATATACAGGGGCACCCAACAACAATTTTCGGAAAGTTATCTGTTCGGAAGACGATTTGAGATCTAGAATTTTGAGATCATTTCCTGCAAAATTTCTTGCTTGCCTGCCTCTCCTAGGATTTTCAAACATCAAAAAAGTGGTATAATTGCCCATTTTTAACGGATTTTTACCCTAAAAAGGTCACCTAGAATTTTCAGAAGCCTTTTTTCTGGCTGAAATTTTCGAAAAGATAAATTTTGATCCCTATAATTTTCGGATCACTATACTTTCAGCTAGGAAATCCGAACAGATGAAAAATTTTTAGGGGATAAAAATTAATAAGCCTTTATCTACCGTTTAAATACTAAAGTACGTTCAACAATGCTATGTTTATGTGGTTTTGAAATATATTCTCGTTGGGTGCCCCTGAATATAGCATTCAATATTCATGGTTCATTTGTGAGCAGTCAGTGATCTGACCAATCCGACCATAAGACCTGTTCGCAGGTGACACTAATTATGTTTTGTTACTTGCAGATTAGGACATGTTCATCAGAGGACAGTCTAGAACCAGTCTCCTCTCAACTCCTTCCATCCAATTGTAAAGTAGTCCTACTAGCAGATGTTGATGGAGATGGCTCATTGAAGCTGATTACAGGACATGCTGATAGAGTTGTCCATGTTCACAAGCTTCAGGCTGATCAAAACACTGAAGCTGGTGTCCAAGAAAAGCTATTGACAGGTACTTTTGGCATGGGCATTTAGTACTGTCTATACAACTGCAAATAAGTCGCAACTTAAAACCTATCTTTTCGATCTGTGATTTCCCTTTCATATAATCAGGGCGTCTGATATTTCGCGCGGTCGCGGACCCGCGAAATTCAGGTATTTCCGCGAAATCCGCGAAATTCCCCAAAAAACGCGAAATACCACGAAATCCGCAAGAAATATTTCCAAATACATGTCGGCAAAACATATCTAATACTTATCTTGGCTATTAGACCTGTTTTATTCACCCCAAACGTCCACATTTATCTTGAAACTTCGTCACTGCAACGAGTAAACAACGTCCCAAAACTACCAGGCGTCTTAGATGAACGTTGCGAAAAACTGGGCACTAACTATAATGTTAATAGCTTTAGCATTTGCTCATTTCTCGAGCGAACTGTTGTTGAAAGAGCACATGATTATCCCTGTTAAAAAACGTTAAACAACGCTGGTCATATCGACGCAAAATTGATCGATTTTAGCGAAATTTGCCAAAAAAAATCCAACGAAATCGACTGTTTTTTACCGATTGTTTCTTGGCGAAGTTTCCCCCGAAATTTCCCGTGAGATCGGCCGATTTTTCTAACAATTTGCCCCTGAAAATTCCTCGAAATTTGACTTTGTTCCGCTAAAATTCCGCGAAATCGGCCGATTTTTCTGCGAATTTTGACTTTTGTCCCGCGAAAATCCCGCGAAATTGGCCGATTTTTCCGCGAATTTGCCCCTGAAAATCCCGCGAAATTTTGCTATTTTTTCCGCGAAATATCAGAAGCCCTGTATAATGTTCTATTTCTGTAATTGCATGAGATTACTAGTATGATAGTTTCATACTTTGACCATAGTTAGTATTTAATAGTTGAATTTTAGCAGTGTTACATTTTATGTCTTAAAATTTTCATTTTTTTTCTTTCGATTTATATTTTCATGTTAATGTATTTTAGAATTTTCCTTGAAGAGTCACTCTGTAAGAGCATTGAGACTTTATATATGCGCTAAATATATTACTATTATTATTATTGTTTACCGCTTGCACCCTGGGTTACCTTTTTCTTTATGCATGAAGTGCTTAAATAATATTGTTATATATTTCAGTCCAACAGGTGGATGCCTTTCGAAGTTAATTGGGACATTTCTGTTATTCCATTTCAACTTTTTTTTTTCTACTATCAACAGAGATTCCAAAAGTTAAGCCACTTTCCAAATTGCAAGGTGGGTGTGGCTCAGGACATGATACATAGCCTTACATGAAGGGAACTTGGGCTAAACTTCAAACTGAAGCAAAGATTAGCTCATCAAAAGTTGGGATTGTCCTTCATATATGGGGATCTGAAATATTTAATACTATAAGGAAATGAAAGGCAGTCATTTCATTGATAGTATAAAAATTCCTTATTCCATGAGTGTTTTACCATGAATGGGGTGGGTCTAAAAGAAATGAGAGAGGCTAAATTCATGATTGTTGCAATTGAGTAACTATATTCGCAATCTTCGTGTTGCAGAAACAGAAGAAGACAAAAAGAACGTAAACAGTGCAACTCTAGCATCTTCTTCCTCTCAGTCAAGCAGGCAGGATTCATCAAAGGACAACACAAAAGAGAAAATGGAGAGGAAAAATTCCAAACAGGAAGAAAAAGTCAGTTTAGTAGATAATAAGAATGGAAAGGAACAAATCAGTGTAAAAGGAGGGTCAGAAAAACCTTGTGCGTTTGGATGGCATTTTGTCAGCCTAAAGTCCTGGACGGTTTCCTACCAGATAAATTCTCTAGTAGTGTTTGATGTTATGAAAACTAGATATTTACTTGCGTCACAGCCGGGAGGTACTTATGTCATTCTCATGTCGTCGGCCTTGAACCAACAAGAAGCGCCGGAAGAAAAGGTAATGGAAAACTGCTTCTTTTTTTTTTACTATGATAGTACTGAGCTGCCTCGACGCATCTCAGTAGAAATCTCGTCGAAGCCTTTGCCATTTACAAATTTTTCAAATATTTACTGATATACTGATTGTATACTGATAAAGGAATTTCTGCTCGAATTTTCCTGCACTGAAAAATGAAAAAAGTGCGCAGTAATTACCCAGAGGGTGTGGCATGGTTTCCAGTACCGCCGTTATTTACAGCTTATCTAGCGCAGGAAACCCAGGTGCTAGCCTGCACAGGTCATCTGGCTGTTTCGTTAGGAAGGGAGGCACGAAAGAGCGGCGAGGTTTTTCATTGTTTCCACTCCATTGTTCTCTCGGCTTTGCCTCTCGCTTTCCGCTCCCCTCAGGGGCTACACGAAAACGGGCAAGGTGGGGTAGAGTGTGGTGCCGGACCCTAGCATTAGCCATTTTGTGGTTGCGTCAGGAGCCCATAACCCGGAGAAAGCAACTTCCATGTACTCGTGTCAAGGCGTTTTCACCAACCAGGTTATTTTTAAGAGCGATTTTGGCGCGAATTTGGAAGATCTTGTTAGTCCCACAAACCAGTCAGCAAATCCCTCTGACTTGAAAATAATAATAATAACTTTATTTAACGAGGGTAAAGACATTGATTACTGGTCACCCAGTAGTTTTCATAATGGCCCTCCTACAATTAAAGTAATAAAAAATATCGATTATTTAATTAACTACCAATATAATCTACCAACTAAACTTACATAATAAACTACTATTAATACAATATTGATTAATTGACTACTAATGAAACTAAAAGGTTTTACAAATCTTAAAATGATCAAGAGAAGAAATCAAGAGAAGAAATCAAACTACAAATGGTATCCTTCAGCATATCTTATACTTTGAATGAGCTCGATTTCGCGGGAAAAACTGCTCACCGTCTCATGCGTAAAGTTAACCTCAGAATTAAGACATACAGTGTGTATCAGCTACCTTTTCTGGTAAACACAAAAAGAATCAGTATATTTATATAACTGTTGTGAAGTCTAACACAGCTCTGTAGTGAAAAAAAGGTATCTAAAATAAACCGGTCCGTGTAAACGCCGGGACATAGTCTTAATATGGCAATTGCTCGCTCTGGGTTATGGGCTACTGGTTGTGTTTTAGACTGAGCCGGTGTTCAGGGCTGTTGAGTCGAATTGCAAAATGGCTCAAACGTCCCCAGCAGCGAAGAGCGAGGAGCAACGGATGCTTTCGCAGGCTACTCTGTTTTGGGTTACGCAGTTTGACCCAGATTCTTGTGCAACCCCGTAAGAGCAAAGAAAAAAGAACCAGAAAAGAAGCGATAGCGTTCTCAAAACTGTTCCAAAGTGCACTGATTCTGACACAACAACGAGCTGAGATCACTCGAAATCTAGAAAGTATCGGCTGAAACTGAGAAATCTATTTATTCATTCAGTGACGCAGGCTTCTCGGAAAAACAAAACCGAGTATTCTCAACAGGAGTGGGTCTACCCTACGACCTTCTCTGGTGGTTACTAAAAAAACGTTTGCAAACTGACCTAAAACAGGACGAGCAGGACGTTAGCGAAACGACTCGTCGACGAAAAGACCGTTAAACCCTCTAGTATTACTTACTATACAGTACCTCTGTACCCCTCTCACATTCACATTGCATTTTAACCTTCGTAACAGGCGTTTCCAATAAGTTTCTCGACGAACTCGCGCGAAAACTCGCGTCATGGAAGGTAATTTAAGACAGACTTAGATTCTGGATCTCAGGCTGTGGATTCCGGATTACAGGTACTGGTTTCCAGTCTTTGTCAGCGGAACTAGGATTCTGAATTCCAAACGTTAGTAGGATTTCAAGTAGTCTGCTACACAGCCGATTTTAGTGTCGTCACGCAACGCTCCTCCCCAGGAGAGGAGCGTTGCGTGACGACACTAAAAACGGCTGTGTAGCAGACTAGATTTCAAGCTGTATTCCGGACTCCATAAGCAAAATTTTCCTGCATTCCGGATTCCACAAACAAAAATTTCCTGGATTCCGGATTTTGGATTCCAATTCAGATTTCCTACATTGGACGACGGAAACGCTTGCTACGCAGGCTAACCGCATTTATTTTTGTATGAATTATGCTCTAGCTCGGCACTGACTTGCTTTGCTTGATTTTTGCGATTAGATTTCTTGTTCTCCCTCATCATCCATCTTGAACCAGTTACCTGTTGTTTGGGGACGAAACAAAGGTATCCCGACAAATCTAATCACTTTGAAATGCCACGACAGCGCAGCCACGGAATTGGCAAATTCAACTCTTACTGATCAAGCTCCGAGTTACCTAGTTTTGTGTAACCAAGACGGTCAATTGGTGTTCATGAGCGCAAACAAGAATCATAGCTGGTCCATGCGTGTCGACCAAGGTAACTACAAACTATTCGCGTTGTCGAAGCTTGACATTACCAAAGATGGCAACGAGGAAGTGGCTATTTGCTCCTGGGATGGTGTCACCTACTTTGTCGATTATCTCAGGAATGTCGTACAGTTTAAGTTTGGTGAAAATGTCTTGGCTTTCTGCGCGGGATATTATGCTTATAACGCTGGAAAGAATCTCTCTGCGCTGGTGTATGTGACGTCGTTCAATCGTATCGTTGTTTATTGGAACGCACGCCTGTCCGCAATGGTTCCCACTAACAGTGGCATTAAAATGAAACGCAAATTCAAAGAACAGAGAATCGAGAACTGCTGTTAGTACTGAAACAGCTGATAGCATCAACAGTAATCAGGTCACGTAGTTAACTAGCTATATAAAAAGATGGGATAACGGGATCTTTAGGTAAAGAAAAGAAATAACGGGATTTAGGATATTTAACAATTATTCCTCGAGCCCGAATGTGCTCTGAGTCAATAGCCCACAAGGCCGGAGGCCGAATGGGCTATTTACTCAGAGGCCATGAGGGCGAGAGGAATAATTGTTTTAGTATAATCCAACTAGTTGGTCAAAAATATCGAGAATAAAAAACTTTTAGCTAGTTAAAGCTAGACTTTAATCCTTTTTTGCCGCCAAAAAGCCGCGCTTTTCGCTACTAGTGGGCTATAACATATAGCCTAGTGGTAGCTCAACCAATCAGAACGCAGTATTGATAATAGACCACTAGTTGAATATTACTAATTTTAGGTTATTTAAGAACTGTACGATACTTCTACGAGGAAGGGATTAGGGAGGGTATTTTTATTTGTCCCACATCACTCAGTTGTCTTTGCAAAAGTGTATTCATTTTACAGTCAAACCAGGTCAAGCGTTCCCGTCGCTAACGAACTAACGAATTCATTCACGGAAAAATGATTTCGTTTGTTGTTTCAATAATCCATTCATAAAATGAACAATCCAAAATTCATATTTAGCCTCGATTCCCTAATCGAATGTTGATTCGATTACTGTTTTTTGAAAAATTACACTTTCCACAAGTTGACCTCAGAATTTTGTTTTTTCCTCTTTTTTTTCTGAGAGTCGAGTGCTGGCGAGTTCTGAAGTTCAAACCCAAACAAACTGTTACATGTACGCCAGTTTGCTGCCAGCAATCAGTGCAACAGACCTAGGCCTGACCTCTTAGAAAACACAACGGTCAAACTAAGGTCAGTGTATGTGCGGTGATTGGTGGATTTCGATCCTCGGCCTTTGTCAGTTTCTCATAGTTTCTTTGCGTTTGCGGTCTGTCTATTCTAGCTGTTATTTTGATTAAAGGCAATGAAAAACGCAATCGTAAAAGGCAGGAAAAAGGAAGCAAATACGATTGAACACAACAGACAAGAATAAAGAACAGCTAGATTTTGTTCATAAACCAAATCAACATTTGATTATTGAATCGAGGTCCAATTTGACTGTTGGATTATTCATTTTATGAATGGGTTATTGAATCAACAAACGAAATCATTTTGCCATTAATGAATTCATTAGTTTGTTAGCGACGGGAACGCTTGACCTGGTTTGACTGTAAAGGGAAGTTTAGCGGGACCGTGAGTTTGTCAAAATGGCCGCGCTCTTAAAAGCTTAACTCAGTTCCTTTAAGTTGAAAATAAGATTAGCAAATTTGAAGAGGCCCACCCAGAACAGCTTTGCCATTTTCGGGTAAATAAGTTATACGTGCTGTATTTATTGTATTTATCGTTGAATAAAGTTGACTGCTGGAGTAGAAGTTGGAAGTGAGGGTCAAGTGATCTAAATTCCACCTTTATTTATGCGTTTGATGAAACGAATGCCATGTTTCATTATACTGTATAATAAAGTTCAGATATAACGCGCACCTGATTGGTTGAAAAAGCGTGCTTTATGAGAGTATGAACACGGAGCTGAAAATTAGAAAGTAATGCGTGGGGAATTTTAACGGATTCTTTTTATCATTAAACAAATAAATAAGCCTTTACTGTACTCTGTTCTGTTGTAAAGCACCTAGTAAGCGGCTGAAGGACTCGAGAAGTAGGGGAAAACGCTCGACTACGTCTCGTGTTTCCCCTTACCTAGCCTGTCTACAGACCCCCTCCTCCCCTCAGTAAAAATCGGAGAAGACCAGGGGGGGTCTGTACACAGGCTACCCCTTACCCTCCTTTCGCACTCAAGCCGCTTCCTGCGTGCTTTACAACGGCACAGAACACAGTTAAGGCTTCTTCAAGTGTTAACTAAAAATCTTTCCAACCTCAAAACCTGCTTGTCTCCCTGTAAAGGTTCCGTATTAAAAACATTTGCCTATTCGTATGCAGTGTCAGAATATGAAGGGATGTTTACTTAAGCGGATTATCTCGCTGTATATAGCAGCTGTCATTTGGCGTGTGTGTGCATTCCGATTTGCTTGGCTATTTTGTTTTTGCACAACGTCTGAATCTTCCGCCATTATATTTTTCCTGGTTCCATGCCTCGCGCCAGCCGACTTCAAAATTCAAAATGGCCGCTAAAGCTAAACAAATTCCACGCATCGATACAGTGAGGAAGCTTTATTTACTGCGCGAACACTCGAACCGGGACACTTGGAAGAAGACTGTCCAATCACAAAGTTTGCTGGAAACACACGAGCCGATAACTTTCATGATTTTGAGGGCTGTTTCCTGAGAGAGGATTCATGATTCAAAGAACTCCCGAGGGGTATTCCTGGGAATTCTTAGTTTTAGTTTATTTTATTTTATTAGCTTCGCCTGAATAATAAATAGATACTTAATAGGCAGGGGTGCCACAACAGCGAAAGAAACAGTAGTGGGGGTGTGCCACCCCGTTCTCCAAATCCTGACCCTATTTCAGACCAAAAAATGTCATTTTTCACACCGTTTTCAGACCTGACCTTTAAAATCCTTCCCTATTCTCAGACCAAAATGGGCAACGTGTATACCCGTTTTCAGACGAAAAAGTCCCAAAATTTATACCCTTTGAGGCGGCACGTACATATATGGCTTACTTAACGGGGTATCCCACCGGGAAACAACCGTTCCCTGAGGTCAGGTTGGCTGAGAACGAGCACCCCAGTGCGACCTGAAAGACCTCGACAAAGAATCTTAAAGAATATAAACATAATTTTAAGGTTATGAATGAATGAATAAATGAAGAGTCGTGGATGAGAGGACAACAGACGTGCCCTATTTACAATACATTTTTAACATGTGAACAGTAAGCTCGGACGTCAGCATACAAAAGGCGCCACTGACAGCCGCTCTCAGTCCATTTATGAGCTTACTGTACCCACCAAACCCATGATGTGAATGATGTGATGTGTGAAGGTTGACCACAACACCGGGGTCTACGTCCCCTACTCTTTTCCAACAGTGGTGTGGGTTCTTTTACGTCCTACAAGAACCAAATAAGTGCAAGTGCTGTGAGACGGGACCTACGGTTTTTCGTCCTTATCCGAGAAGTTCGAACCCGTGACTTCCCGCTCAGCAGACCGGCGCTCTTCTAACTGAGCCAACCATGGGGGCAGTAAATGGCGGCAAACGGCGGTTATGTTCACACCATACCGAATAAAAAGCTTTCTGGTACAGTATGAAAAGCAACGGCACCAAACTGGAACAAGTCGTTCACGCACATCAAACGTCGTGCCTTACCGGTTGACCGAGAGGGTACGATGAACTAAATCCTCGATAAGTCATAAGCATATCCAGACGACAACAATCAATGACAATCGATCATTGATATCATCAATAAAAATCAATAAAAATCGATAATCACTCACCAATGCGTCTAAACGTTATTGATTTTCATTGATTGCTATTGATAATCAATAGCTGATTGTGCAACAGTAAAAACCCGGGTTCGCAAACACAACAACGCTTCTACTGAAAATTTCTATTTCCTTGGATTTATTTCCCTGGGTTTATAGGACTGTGACAGGACCACCAGAAAAAGAAAAAGAAAGCACATTTTAGTTTTTTAAAAAAATCAAAAAATCCATTTAAATCAATGAAAATCGAAAACCCTGAAAAACACTTGAACTAGATGAATCTGAGCACACGATACGGTCATGCGATACTGGTCAGTGGATACCCTGTTTTGACAGCTACCAATCAAGCTTAGCATGAAAGACTAAATTCAAATTAAACGCAGGTTGCAGGCTTGCACACTTGCTTGAAAATGACATTTCACATTGGTTACCCTGTGACGTTGTGCGGACGGACGGCGGGTGGACGGACGGACGTACGGTCACGTGATTACCAAATTTTCTTGGATGCATAGATAACCAAACTTTATTACCCATGATGTTCCCCTGCGCGCGCTTCGCGAGTTTTTTCTATATTGATATCAGTTTTCCATTTTTGGAGTTAGTTAATTAGATAGCACTCCCTTTGAGTGAGAGAACGAGAGCGTGTTTATGTTCACCAAAATAAGTGGAACATTTCCCTGTTAGAGACTAAGGGCCTGTATACATGGAGTGGGGGACCCCGGTCTAGTGGGGTTGGTTTCTTTTGTTTTCACGCTCTGGGGGACACAAAACAAAAGAAACCTACCCCACTAGACCGGGGTACCCCAATCCATGTAAACAGGGTCTAAGAAGAAACACGAAAATGAAACTTTTTCAGATTGTATCATGATGGAAAACCAAAATGGAAAACAGGCCTACATAGTTTAAGTTGTGTTAGAGCAAATGACATGCATATTCATTTCAATCGTTATGTTGAATAGAAGCGAGGATGGCGGTGACCTTGTTTTGTAACAAACCTTGTTATTTTTTATACGTAAATGATCATGTTCACGGGCTTGTTAGCACGAGAATACCACGATTTGCACATGAAAAGCAGAAAGGTTTGTAACAAAAACAAGGTCACCGCCAGCCTCGCTTCCGTATTCAAAGGCCAGGACACTGAGCACACAACTGTAAAATGGCCTATTGCTATGTAAATCGTGTAACTTGCCAATTGTTTAAGATAAATCGTACATGTAATAAAACAATCATTTATGTTCTTAGGCATATATGGGCAATCTTTGATAGTTTACTGCAAAGACATTGTAGCGGCCATATTGAATTAATTCGATTTAAAGAGTATTATAGGATGCCCAGGGGGCATGAGCCCATTTCGTTTGTATTTTCTAGCGCTTTTCGGGAGACTTTTTCTTAAAGTTTTCTTAGAATAAGGTTGTAATGGGAAAAATGATCTTTGTGCCGTGTTTGGATGTAATAATGATCGCCTTTTTCTAGTTTAGTATTAGAAATATGGTCTTTAACTATATATTTCTCGAGAGAAAGGCGATCATTATTACATCCAAGCACGGCA